CGGATTTTTTATTTTTTATTTTTTTGAGATGTAATCTCAATCTGTTGCCCAGGCTGGAGTGCAGTGGCCTGATTTCAGCTCACTGCAACCTCCGCCTCCCAGGCTCAAGCTAGTCTCCTGCCTCACCCTCCCGAGTAGGTGGAATTACAGGCTCCCGCCACCACGCCCGGCTGATTTTTATATTTTTAGTAGAGATGGGGTTTCACTATGTTGGCCGGGCTGGTCTCGAACTCCTGACCTCAAGTGATCCACCTGCTTTGGCCTTCCATAATGCTGGGATTACAGGCCTGAGCCACCACACCTGGCCAACCTGCGGATATTTGGGGGAAGAGTTCCAGGTGGAGAGAATTGGAAGTACAAAGGGCCAGAGGCACCAGCATGCTTGCTGTGTCCAGAGACAACTAGACCAGTGCGGCTGGAGCTGAGGGCAGGGAGGTGACTGGGCATATCTAGCAGGACTGTGTGGGCCACGTGAGGACTTCGACTTTTCCTCTGAGTGAGGTAAGAGCCATTGAGGGCTCTGGGTAGAGGAAGATCATGATGTGAATCCAGTTCTAACAGGCTCCCACGGGGTCAGATGTTACCATTTATTAAACATTTACTGAGTGCCAGACACTATTCTGTTCAATATGATTTGATCTCATTTCATTTTCACATGGACCCTATAGAGAATATCATCCCATTTCACAGAACAGAAACTGAGGCTCACAGAGTTTAAGACACTGACCCATGGCCAAGCAGCAATAATCTTCAGCGCCTGGGTGCCAAGGTAAAGTAAGCCGGCCTTTCCCTCCCCCAAGCATTTCAGACAAGGATCGGTGGCTGCAGAGCGCACCCGTCTTCGGGAACGGCGTCTGTGTCCCTGTCTGTCTGTTTCTATTTCCACACGTCCCTGTCTGTCTCCACGCGCCTCTGCCTGTGCGTCCCCCATCTGTGCCCAAGCAGTCGTCTCTCTGCGCCCGGCCCCCGCACATCGGAGCTATTTCGGGTTTAAGGCTTAAAAGCCCAACAGCTCGGAGGAGACGCTTCCTCCGGCCCCCGGCTCGGACCACGCGCCGCACGCGGCCAGCTCTGGGAGCTCCCAGTTTTTTCTGCGGGATCCCCGAGCCGGGGAAGCCCCCGCGGGAGGAAGGGTGGGGGCTGGGGCGACCCGGGCCCGGAGGCTCTCGGCCCCCCAGTGGCCAACCCGGGCATTGACGCCGTCAGGAGCCCAGTCGTGCGTCAGCTGTCGCCCTGGCAACGGGCGGGCGACGTCACCCATTGGTGGTCCGTCAGTCACCCGCTGACGTCACGTCCCAGGAGGGGCAAAAGGCAAGGCGCGGGGGCGGGTTCTAGGCCCGGCCGGCAGGGGGAGCCCCGGGGCACTGATGGCAGATGCGTTTGGCTTGGTCTTGCAGGAGGCCCTGGCCCTGCCAACATGGCCACCGCAGCCCCAACGGCGCGCTAGGTTGGCAAGATGAAGAGGAGTCGCAGTGCCCTGTCCGTGGCAGGGACCGGGGACGAGGTGCGAGAGGAGGCGCTTGGGATGGGGCGGGGCTTCGCCCCTGGGGAGACTAGCGCCCTCTAGTGACCATGGCTATTTCTTGAACGCGGCTTCACTACCTCCAAGCTGTGAGGAGTTTGGTCCCCTTGTTCCTCAGTTTACTCCTTGATTCCATTTTTCTCCTGCTGCCCAGATTAAGAGGCTCTCAGCCGGCCCAGGGACAGAAGGCAGAGGCTTCTCAAATGAGGAGAGGATTTTGGCGAGCAGATGGGAGGGGGCGCTAGGGGTGGTGAGGTCTTGAGAGTCTCAGATGTGAGGGAGGGGAGGGGGGCATTGACATTAAGACCAAGAGGGGCCCTCTTAGATGTGGAGGTTGGGAAGAGACCCTAAAAAGGTGATGTGTTAGAGAGATCTCACACTTAAGACAGAATGTCTAGATGTGACAGACCCCCAAGGCTAGGGCATCGAGAGGGGACCCCACAAAAATTATGGCTGAGAAGGGGCACTCTCAGACCTAAGAGATGGTAGGGCACCCTTTGTGGGAGGGGTCAGCGAGTGGTTCACACGTGAAGGGGAGCCTATACCCCCCATTAACTACTCCCTTAGACAGCTAGGTAGGGGTGTTCTTGCGGAGCGGGGCTCAGAGCTTCCCAGCCAGGCCACGCCCCCATTCCACTTTATCCCTCCCCAGAGGCCGAGGGAGAACCCCGAATCCGGCCATGCCAACATGCTGGGGGCCGACCTGCGTCGCCCTCGCCGCCGCCTCTCGTCCGGTCCTGGCCTGGGCTGGGCCCAGCCTGAGACCTCGGACCCTAGGGTCCCTCTGCCGCCACGGCCCACCACGCTGCCGCTGCGGATCCCACCGCGGATTTCCATCACCAGGGCGGAGAACGACAGGTAGGTAGGAGAGGGAGCAGAGTGGGAGCTGGGTTGGGGAGGCACAGTGCCAACTGGGCTAGGTCCAGCCACCAGCCCTTCCCGATCTCCACGCTCCCTGTCGTTTGCAAAACTAGTTGCAACTTGTACTGTGGCGGGCTGTGACACCCCTCCTCCAAGGCAACCTTCGCAAGCTCTAGGAAACCCTTCTTTCATTTTCCAGCTGCCTGAGTCAGCAAGGGGCAGGACTGAGGAAAGGGGTGTCATGTCTCCAGCCCCCAAGATGCTCCCATATTCACAGAGCTGGGGCAGGTTGATCAGGCGGCTGTGCACCGGCTTTCGTGTCCCCGCTGGGAGGATCAGGTTTCTTCTCCGCCTTGAAGGGGATGGTGGAGTCTTGGAAGGGGTCTGGACTGGCATTTTTCTTTCTCCTGGGGAGATGTGAGAAATATCTGCGAGCTCTGGGTTCACACAGCACCTCTTGCTGGTTCTCATCTGGGGACCTTCCCGGTACCCAACCAGTTTCCCAGAGTACTCAACCCCCTTCTTGGCTCAAGAATGAGCTGGAAAGTCAGACAGCTGAGCTAGTCCTGGCTTCTGGCCGGCCCCTGCCCCCATGCCCTCCTCTGGTCACCGCTCTCGGCAGTTCCAGTCTACCCCCACCCCCATCTACTCAATTGGAGAGTTCCAGGGTCTCTGTTTCCCTCATGGTCCAAGGTTCATTTCCAGACAGGGAGAGCAAGTGACTGTCACTCGCCCCTGGAGCTGCTTAATTATACCTCCCCATGTCCATCCCACTAGCCTCAGGTCCAGATCAGTTTATCCCCCGGCTCAGATCACCGTTCCTCGTTTCCTCCTTCTTCTGCAACCCCAGCTGTGGCCTGACATCCCCACCCGCCTCGCATTACGCACCCCCACCCCCCTCCATATCTCTAACCAACGTTACAGCTTTCCCCCGCCAAGAATTTGGCCCAGCCCAGGACTCTCAAATATGATCTGGGGAGAACTCGCAGCCCCTGCAAATTCCCTAGAAGCCGTTTTGAGTGTGTAATGGCGGGGGGTGTTGCTGAGAGAAGTGGGGGACACAGTTCTGGCCCTTGGGATACCCCGCGGCTGCTGAGGGTGGGGACCGGTTTTTGCTCGGCGTTCGCCCACCCCGGGAGCCCCCTCTGGCGGGGAGAAAAGTGGCTGTGGGGGTTGAAGACGGGCAGTCTTTTTTTTTTTTTTTTTCAAATAAGGAGAAGAGCGCGGGGGGAGGGCGGTAGCAGACGGCATCGCCTGCCCTGGGGAGCCCGTGAGAGGGGGCGCACGGGGGCTGGGGTCTGGTCCCCGGGTCGCGCAGCAGAGCAGTTTCGCGTTCAAGCTCTTATCGGCGTTGGGGGTGGGGGTGGGACACGCGGGCGCGTGCACTCCCCCCGCCCAGCAGCCAGCCTTGGGGGGGGTTGAGGGGGATGGGGGCGCGCTCGGATCCCGCTCGCTCTCTGCTCGCTCGCTCGGCGCGGCGCTGGGGGAGGCGGGAGCGTGAGTCACGGCGACTCCCGATTTAGGTGCCGGAAGGGGGGCTCTGCTGGCGGGGGCCGCAGGGAGGAGGCTCGCCTGTTTACTCGCCTGAAAAGGGCACGGGGGTGCGCTCCGCGGCTACCCGGGACCTTCCTCAGTTTACCTCCCGCAGAAGCGCTTTAGAAGAGGCAGCGATGTATAGAGCGGTGGGCGGGCAGCTGGGGTATCCGCCATAGGGTGTCCTCCTGGAGCCGCAAGGGAACCAATGGGACACACCCCAGAAACACCCCAAAGAGGCCCCAGGCCGACCACACACACACGCACGCACACGTACACGCACACACTAACATACATAGACGCCCTCCGACACTACAGACGACAGAGGCCGAATCTCGTGCACAACTCCGCAAGCACACACCGACCACAGACGCATCCAAGCGCTTGAGAACATATTCACAGTCCCCAGGCCACCTGAAAAAATACCACGTAGGGATGCACATCCTCCAAATAGGTAGCACATGTGCGCACACATCCTTCATCCACAGACACACACAATTATACACACAGCCAAATTCAGAGAAACGGGCAGACAACAGCAGCCAACCACGTGCGCACACACACTTCCAGCCGACACTGAAAACACAGACAACCCTTGGAAGAGGCCACGTGCGCGCATATCCCGCCCCGAGCCCGCACCATCACTATCCTCCGACGCACAGACAGGAGATCCCACACACTCTGCCGCCGCCCGCTGCAGGCACCGCGCCGGTGGCACCAGGACCACTCCTCAAAAACTACCCCGGCCAGGGGTAGCGGCGAGGACACGCCAGCACCGGGCTCCGCCCTCGCCATGATGGACCGACTGACTGACACTCTGGCAACCAGTCCGGTGTCTTCTTCCAGATCGGATTAACCGTTTAACTCCTTCGTGCCCGTGCGCGCCGCGGCCAAGCAGGGTGCTTTGAAGAGAGCCGAGTTTCAGCGCCCCCTCCCACCCCGGAGCGGGGATCTGCGTGGGCGGGAAGGGCCCCCCCTCCTTAGGTAGCTGCCCCCCACTGGCCCGGACGGAGGAGGAGTGGGGCGGCGCTGACAGCCGCGGCGGGCGGGGGGCGGGGAGGGGCGGGACGGGGCGGAGGAGCCGGGGCTGGCGCCGAGCGGGGCGCGGAGCGCGGAGAGCGCCGCCCGGCACTGAGCAGAGCTCCAGGCGCTGAGAGGAAGCCGCAGAGCCCGGCCCGGGGGCGATTGGCCCGCAGCGCCCCCGGGTCTGTCCCCGGGCGCCATGGCCCTACCGCGGCCGGGCGCACCCGCGGGGCCCTGGGCTCGCTGGCTTGAGCGCAGCTGAGGGGGGTGTAGGTTGGAAGGGCCAGGGCCCACCGGGGCGCAAGTGGGGGCCGGCGCCATGGAGCCCCCGACCGTCCCCTCGGAAAGGAGCCTGTCTCTGTCACTGCCCGGGCCCCGGGAGGGCCAAGCCACCCTGAAGCCTCCCCCTCAGCACCTGTGGCGGCAGCCTCGGACCCCCATCCGTATCCAGCAGCGCGGCTACTCCGACAGCGCGGAGCGCGCAGAGCCGGAGCGGCCGCCTCACCGGCCCATAGAGCGCGCCGATGCCATGGACACCAGCGACCGGCCCGGCCTGCGCACGACCCGCATGTCCTGGCCCTCGTCCTTCCATGGCACTGGCACCGGCAGCGGCGGCGCGGGCGGAGGCAGCAGCAGGCGGTAAGACTCCCCTTGGCGGATGCGCGCGGAACCGATGGGCGCGCACGGAGGAGGCAACTCGAGCCGCCCGCCGCAGGGGGCGCTAGGATGCGGGTGGGGTCGGTTTGGCTGGCGGGGGCGGAGGGAGTTCGGCTGCGGGGGCGTCTAGGACCTGGCCGCTGGTTGCCCGCGCTACGGCTTCCTGCTGAAGCCCATCCTGGGGTCCATTTAGGGGGCGCCATGCTGCGCGTGGTGTTAACGAGGTCTGGGTTGGGGAAGAGGGCTGCACCTTTAGGGGTCTGTATTCTTAGTGACAGTGCAGGACAGCGGCTAGGCTGGGAACCACTTGGAGGGACCTTCCTGGGGGCACTATTCTGAGGGCTAGATTCGCAGTGTTTGGGGTACCGTTGGGGCACTCTGTAAGCGGGTGCCTGCTAGGACCAGGATCTTTAGTTCAGGGTCGGGTGCTCTCAGGGTTCTATGGGGTGGAGGACTCTATTGCGGGGATGTTAGTGGACTCTTCCTGCAGCAGCTGGGGTCGGAAATCCAGAGGGTGCCTCTTGGGGGAGCACTGTTTTGGGAGCCTTGTGTTAGGTTGGAGTTTCCCTCTCAGGGCAAGAGTGTTAGGGTTCAGTAGCTGTTCAGAGGCAGGAAACAGTGGAGAGGGGGCACAGTCCCAGCACAGAGGGAAGGAGTCCCCGACTGCAGAGGTGACAGCATAGTGAGGGTGTGTGTGTTGAGCTTGGTCTTCTCCGACGGTATGCTCCGACTGACCTGCGTTTGCTCCAGCTGTCCGGGTATGACCAGCTGTGGCTGCCTCAGTTGTGGGCTCTGCGTGAGCTTCTGGGGTCTTGTGATGGTGACACGATGACTATGTGTTCTCCAGGGACAGTGTAATTGTGACAATATGACTGTGTATTTCCCGGGTAGTGTGACTGTGTGTTTCTGGGACACGGTTTGTGACAGTGACTGTGTATGCTTCAGGAATGCTGTGAGTGTCACAGGGTGACTGTGTGGCCTCATGGGATGCAGTGATTGGGATAGAGTGACTTTCTGCTCCTAGGACAGTGATTGTGCAGTGGTGTCGGTGGTCTAGGGACAATGATTGTGACAGTGTCATTTCTGGCATGCAGTGATTGTGGCACTGGGGTGTTTACACTTGGAAAACAATGTGATTGAGTTCGTGGAACAGTCTGTGCTGCTTGGACACTGTGATTGAAACACCGTGGCTGTGTGTTAGTCTTCGCCAGGTGCTCACATCTGAGCGTCGGTGCTCTGACATGTGGCCTGTGTTCCCTTTGCCTGGTGTATCCTAAGAACTGGTGTCCTCTAACCACCTGGTGTTCTTAGTTATTGTTCTTGCTCTGATGGTGCTCCAGGGTCTGATTGCATGTGCTCCAGCGATGTGTGCAACTGACAGCTTTGCTCGTGTGCTCTACCTGGATGCCCCACTGCTGAAGACGGTCAGATTCAGGCTTCTTATCCCTGGAGTTCCTGAGTGAGGCCCCTCTAAGATGTAGCCCTACTCTTCCTAAGTCTCTTTGGGGGTCTTCAGCAGTCATTGCAGCCCTCCAGGCCACCCCCACCTCTGTTCTAGTCACCCCCAAGCCCCAGTCCCCCTGCACCCCTGTACCCACCAGGAAGCAAGTGTCATGGGTCCAGTACATATGGGCTAATATTTCCTAAAGGGAACTGGAGAGAGGCTGAAGGAAGAGAAAGCTGGAATCAACAGAAAATGCTAAAACCGGGGGCAAGGGGCCAAACTGTCACACGTCACTGTCCTAAGACACCAAGGGGTGGGTGAAATGCAGTAGGATCCGGGCCCCATTTATTTGCAAGGCTCTAGAGACTCCTCCTAGCCTGGTCTCTGGGGTGCTGAGTCTTAGGGGACAGTGGCTGAGCGGTAATAATCATCATTTTGGTGGGTATCCATCTCGCAGTGGGTCACCCTCGGGCTCCATGCCAGGGACTTTTCCATGCATCCTCATCCCCAGTGCCAGGGTATTCCAGCAGGGTATTCCTGCTGGCATATGGGGAAACTAGGGCCTAGAAACAAAACGCTTTCTCTCTCTCTCTCTTTTTTTTTTTTTTTTTGATGGAGTCTTGCTCTGTCACCCAGGCTGGAGTGCAGTGGCGTGATCTCGGCTCACTGCAACCTCTGCCTCCCGGATTCAAGCGATTCTCCTGCCTCAGCCTCCTGAGTAGCTGGGATTACAGGAACCCGCCACCACACCCGACTAATTTTTGTATTGTTAGTAGAGATGAGGTTTCACCATGTTGGCTAGGCTGGTCTCAAACTCCTGACCTCAGGTGATCTGCCCACCTTTGTCTCCCAAAGTGCTGGGATTACAGGCATGAGCCACTGCGCCCAGCTAAACCCTTTTTCTTTCTCACCCAAGCTCACACAACCGGGAGATGGGGGAGCTGGAATTGCAATGCAGGTCTGCCCAATTCCTGTGCATCTTTGTATAAGTGTCTTGCCCTCTCTGAGCCTCAGTTTTCCAGTCTGTAAAGTGGGGCTGTTGTTGGCATTGCCGTGTGGGGTCAGTTCGAGGGTTCTGTGAGCTTGGGGATGTGTGTAAAAGACTTAACATAATGAGTAGATCTCCATTCAGGGACCTGGACTAAGGAGGGGGGACCTGAGTGGATCCCATTTCTCCAGGGTGAGTAGAAAAAACAGGAACCTTAACCACATGCCCACGTAGACTCCGGTTTCTGTTTCACTGTGGGCCTGTGCACCCTTCAGTGTCTGTGCTGAGGTCCAAAGCTGGGACTGATGGGTGGGCTGTAGCTGGCATCGGTGCCAGCGTCCTTCCCCCTCCCCAGGGAGAAGGAGAAATGTCTCTGATGGCAACCTCAATGCTTAGAACGGACATTTCTTCAAAAAGGGGATTTTAGCAGGGCACACACAGGATTCGGTGCTCCCCATATTGGAGTTCATCCAGCTACCACAAGAAGAGTCCAGTGAGCTCCCCCATTTGGGTCAAAGGAATCCCCAGAGAGAGGGCACTGCCCCCCGCAACCCGAGATGTCATCCAAACCTCCCCTGAGGATGTATGAGACGGCTGAGTCACGGCACAGCCACAATCTGTCAAGAGGCAGATGGAGAGGGAGGAAGAGGAGGACTTTGGTGGGGGGGAGGTGGGAAGCTGTCTGAACTGGGGACGGGGCCAACATACAGACCCCGCGTCCCCCCTCCCTGGGCCCTAAAATGCTCCCCATCAAGGTGGGGGCACAGCGTGGCCCCAGGAGCAAGTGGAGGCAGCAGAGCTGGGGTCTCCGTCTGGTCGCTGGTCTCTGTCTCCACTTGGGTCCTCGCCTCCCACTGTCCCTGGCGCTCCCAAGTCCCTGGATGTGGGTTGAGAGCGGGTCTCCCCGCGCGCCCTCTGCCGGACGACGAGGAAGGCACAGCCTCGGTGTGCGCTCCGAGCGCGGACCTGCCCCAGGGACGCGTGTCCCGGAGCAAAGCAAAGTCGCCGTCACCGTCGCGGCGCCCAGTATTATTATTTCATGCTTATTGAGCGTCCTGGAGAGCGGGCGCCAGGCCGGCTGACCGCAGGCTGCGTGTGGGGTCCTCGCCCTCCCGGGCTTGGGACCAGGCGGCTTTCCCCATGCGCCAGCCCCTGCCACACGCTGCGGGGACTGCCGCCTGGAGGACAGGGAGGAACCTGGCCGAAAAGTTGCAGCGGTGGAGTTCCCGTCCCGCCTCCGCTCGCTTGCCCGGCAGGCTGATGAACTCCAGCATCCTTGGCGCTACACTTCTGCCCGGCAAAAAGAGACCATGGGACTTACCCAAGGTTACACAGCGAGGAAGGTGAGAATGGGAGTTAAAAACCAGATCTCGGCCGGGCGCGGTGGCTCACGCCTGTAATCTCAGCACTTTGGGAGACCGAGGCGGGCGGATCACGAACGAGGTCAGGAGTTCAAGATCATCCTGGCCAACATGGTGAAACCCCGTTTCTACTACAAATACAAAAATTAGCCGGGTGTGGTAGCACGCGTCTGTAATCCTAGCTACTTGGGAGGCTGAGGCAGGAGAATCGCTTGAACCCGGGAGGCGGAGGTTGCAGTGAGCCGAGATGGCACCACTGCACTCCAGCCTGGCAACAGAGCGGGACTCCGTCTCAAAAAAAAAAAAAAAAGCAAAACAAAAAAAACCAAAACAAAAATAACAGATCTCATCCACTCCAGACCTCTGAGTAACATTCACATGGCAGCCCTGCCTGCTGACTCGCTGTGTGACTTGGGGCCAGTGATTGTGCCTCTCTGAGCCTCAGTTTCCTCATCAGTCAAACGGGGCTGAAAAATAAGAACTGTCCACCCCCAGGGCTGTGGTGAGGCTGATATGTTTGACGTAGGCGCTGGGCAGCCAGGAGCTGGTGTTCTGAGAAAGTACTTCCTCAAATGACATCAGCAGAGAGAAAGGGGGCGTCCCCCAAACCGCAAGCCCGGCTGGCGGGGAGGGTGCCCCATATTTCAGTGGTAACAGATTGACTGCAGGCTCTTATGACTTTAGGAAAACTGGGGCTTTGGACCTGGGAGAGCCACAGTCTGGCAGGGTGAGAACAGAATTGTGGGGACATCTGAGCCCATTCTTTTCATTGTGGAGTATGAAAGAGTTCAAATCTGACTGGATGCGGTGGCTCACACCTGTAATCCCAGCACTTTGGGAGACTGAGGCGGGTGGATTATTTGAGGTCAGGAGATTGAGACCAGCCTGACCAACATGGTGAAACCCTGTCTCTACTAAAAATACAAAAATTAGCCAGGTGGTAGTGGCGCACACCCAGTAGCTGTAATCCTAGCTACTCAGGAGGCTGAGGCAGGAGAATCCAATCGGTTGAGCCTGGAAGGCAGAGGTTGCGGTGAGCTGAGATCGGGCCACTGCACTCCAGTCTGGGCGAGAGAGTGAGACCCTGTCAAAAAAAAAAAAAAAAAAAAAAAGGAAGGAAGGAAGAAAGGAAGAGAAGGAAAGAAAAGAGTTCAAATCTGCTTTTGGCCAGGCGAGGTGGCTCACCCCC